CATTTTGGTTCTAAAGGTCTGACAGAAGAAGCATTTAATCAATGTTGTTTGAATCTGCTCAAGTAAATAACATAAAGCAAGTGGTAAACCAGAAAAACAGCATATAGGATTCACGCCCACCATCTTAAACAAACAGGTTAAGATTTCTCTAATGTATGCTGCAAATGCATGCACAGCATAGCTCCTATGTTAGGGTTATACTGGAGCCTTGTTGGCCAGTGTGATGACTCACACTCATGCTATTGGATTAGAAGGAAGACTTCCCAATCCCCCACTTTGGTTGTTTTTCCAATAATTGCAGCTCCGTAGTTACTGGCAGCAACCACCTCCTCCTACTGCCAACAAATGTAGTTTTTAACTAAATCTCTATCATTCTATTCATCTCTATGACTTGGAATCAGAGGCTGGAGTGAAAACCTGTTATCTCACAGAGGTTGAGGAGTCTCAGAAAGAAAGCATCTGACAAACTAAAAATGACTATCACCCTCAAAGTCCCTCCCTATGACTTCCTATGCATCTCACTATCCATCTTCCAGACTCATTCTGACTCTCTATGACTACTTTCTGTCAACCTAAGGTTGATTCTATTTAGTGAATGAAAATGCAGACTCAGGGTTCACAGTGTGATTGAATACCCTGCAACACCCTTTGTCAATACACATATACTGTGCTTTACAATGTAGGACCAAACTACAGCAATAATGGATTTCCAACAATCTGTTATCCTGTGAAGACTATCGCCATCTGACTTCAGAATGTAAGAGTGACTCAGATCATCTTGACACTGTATATAACTAATTCTTCCTGGATAGTAAAAAGTGCTTTATGAGCATTGATGATGAGATTTTTAAAGGAACCTTGTATATTGGACAGATGAGAGTAAAAAACAATATCAGGACCAATCATATGACCTTCCCTACCTTCAAAGGAAGACACATTAATGAGTATAACAGGATTTTTACTAAAAATGCCAATGAAAAAAATGGAATATTATTTGAACAGTAACCACTTATTAATTATAAGTCTGCTGAATGTTTTCTGATATATGTGATGTTACTATATTTTAGAAGTATATTCAGTATATATAATCATACTCATAAAAACTGAGAAGCTACTATAAGTCAGCACTATGTAATTAGCTATAAATTTCTTAATAGGCTTAGTAAGATAATTTGATATTTTATATCACCCTATTTCACAAAGCTTCTAGAAGAAAATAAAGGCTCCAGGTAACATATGAGGATATAAGTTTTCAACTGGTTCAGGTGAAAGGACCACTTGAGAGAGGCTTGGCAGAGATACTTCTGAGGAAGTATTTATGAAGCAGAGTTTTACTCAAAACAGAGGGCAGCCATGGAAACAGTAACAAAAACCATAGGCCCTTCTAGCAATGTCTGAACAATGGAAGATTCCAGGTTGACAGGATATAATTATACCTAAAACAAAGTTGAAGTGAACTTTATGTATCTAAAGTTTATATGTTATAATATATACTTGGTACTTAAGGCAATGATTTTATTTGGCATGAGATTTACTTATATATTAAATTAAAATCTAAAGTGCATGAAGGTGATATTCCTCAAATCTAAACAAAATGTACCTGGTAAGTATTTTATTACTGTAGAAAATAGCTGTCAATGAAAAATAAATGAGAAACAAATGATTTCAGAGACAAAAATACACACTCATACCCAAACACACACTTTGCACAAAACATTCCATTTAAAGTGATAATTTCTGCATAGGACAGTCCAGTACCTCATTGTCTCAACTGTATCCTGACTCTACCATAAACCATGTTGAGATTTATAAACAAAGGTATGTGGTTCTTATTCCAATGCTTAACTCTTAGGACGAGTTGAAAGTGCAAAATTATCCAAAATAAAGGATTTTTGAAATGATGTAATTGGTAAGTGACATTCAATATTTTATAAGCTAAACAGCCTTAATTACTTCTGTCAGAACATTCCTTAAAAAGGCTATAATTTCACCTGATGGAAAAGGATGGTGCAAAAAAAGTAGAAAATGCCATGAATTATTTCCTGTGAATTCTTTTCCTAGTGTCAGTTAAAAAAATAACTATAAAACCCAAATATACATTCAGATACTTGTGACTTGCTTTGGACTTATACAGACAGAAGAGAATGCCTTTCTACTTAGATGCAAAGACAATATAAGAAAGATACTTAAAAGTAAATTATTAAAAACAAATTACAACAATGAATATTGTCAACTTTTACATAGCTGAGTATCCCTTAGTTTAAAAGTGATTTCCCAATTCTGTTTTAATTTTTTAGATAATTTGAAATGTTCACTATATTAATTTTGAATGCCTTTTTTAAAAAAAATTAAGTAAACCACAAGAGAATTATTTTCTACCTGGAGAGGTAGTCTTAGTGTGCATTGCCAATCAAACAATTATTGCTATCTTAGAGAAAAGCAAATATGTTTGATTTTCTTGTCCTGGGAATTATCTCTCAGCTGTGTGTCTGGCTTTACTCTCCTTCACTCACTAGGTTGCTCTCGTTGGTAGAGCTCATTTTAGTTTTGGCACCATTTTTAAGGAGGTCTCATACACATGGGTGAGCCCAAAGGAATGTCACTGCTACAGGTAAAGATTAGAGAGTGAATGCATTTTAATTTGGAACAGCTGCTCCGGGAGATTAACATGGATTTGGTTTTAAATCTCTGCCTATCTGTAATCAAGTAGATTGATTCCCAAGAGTATGACATTCCATAAAAAGAACCCAAACATTTTGTTCTAATTCTCACAGCCTTGGCTTCATTAAACTGTGCCGTGTATGCACAGACTCATTCATCAGATGTCCAGACATCCCATCACACCTACCAGGGCTGTTGTGAATGACTTTTGTGTCATCTAGATGGAAAGTGAATGAAAATGAAGCATTCATTGATCATGTTAATACCACAAGAGGATGGGAGGAAAAAGTACAAGTACAGGTATGTTTTTTAAAGATCACAAATTTTTAAGACATTATAATATTTACATATTTAATTTTTTTGCATTATTGTGGTAAAAAAAACCACACTGTTTGAGGTATACCCTCAATTAGCTTTTAAGAAGATGTACTTTCAGCTCTTGTTTGAGTGGCCATGTTGGTGAGACTTTAGAAGTGTAGCTTTTGCCATTACTAAGACACACCTATCTCCAGAAATCTCCCTCAACTTTTTGCTCTTAAAACCTTTATATCCTCTCTTTCACAATATTGCCTCAGGAAACAGAAGGGGAAAAGAGTAATTATATTATGCTCTTTAAAAATAAAATAAATAATAAAACTGTATCTAACTCAAAAGCAAAGTATTTTCTTTGTTTTTACAGTTATAATGCTGCAATGCAGCAACGTGTTTCGCAAAACTTTAGTGTTCACAGACTTAAAATGAGATAATTATCCATTCCTCTCTCTCCCTTCCCTGGCAACTTCATGGACTGTGAACTTGCTACAGATTCCTTATGTATGTGTAAACATATATTACTCACTTATTTGCATGTGCGTATGTGAATAGTCTATTTCACTAAGCATGATATCAAGGTTTGACAATAGTACAGAATTCCCTTTGGTTGAGGCTAACTAGAATTTCCTAGCATGTATGTGGCATGGTTTATTAGTCTATTTGCCAGAAGGTAGCTTGACTTGTCCCTATAGCCTATGTTTTGAGTAAAACTGCAATCAACAAAGAAATGGCTTCTTTAAATGTATTTTTTGTGAATGTCATATTACATCATTCATCACCCTCCTCCCTCCTATTCTTATTGTGTTATTCCCATTTCTTCTAAAATTCATTGGTTTTTATACTTTAATTATAATTTACACACACACACACACACACACAAAGTGAGAGACATATATCTATGTTTATAAATAGAACCAGATGAAATAATTTAATCTTGCTCATATATGTTTAGGGTTGTCCTCTTGGGATTGGTTAACCTCTCTGGGGTTCATACCTAGAGTGGACTGATTCTCCCTCTACAAGCAACCGATTGTCTGTAGTTTTCCTCTCTAGCATATGCAAAATATTGACCTAAATGACTCAAATAGCTATAAAACAGTCTAATTGGAGCTACTGCTGAGCCAAATCTTCTCAAACAGTAAAATTGTCTATCAAAAAGAGAACAAAAAACAGCTGTAGTCACAGCTATCTGGAGGTTGATGAAGGATATAGTCTTCATTAGGATAAGTGTATAATTTTCTTAAGCATAAGAAAGTCATTGTATCTCCCCCCCCCAAATGACTTTTAAGATGTTCCTTTACCATTTTAGAAAAATAGATTGGGAATTAGTGTCTTTTATAAATGTGGGGTGTCAGTAAGAAAATACATGTAAATATTTGGTAAGATGCCTTGATGGGGCAGTTACAATCTTAATAGGTTTTAGTAATATAATAACACTCTAAAGCATGAACCTGTAACCATACTACAACCCTGCCTCACTACCACAGATCAAGAAATGAACATACTCTAATTGTAAAATACTCCTACTGTCCATGGTGTTTGGGATAGCATTCTTTAAATTATTGTACCAATCAAGTAATTCATCGTAAGATTTCCATTGAGTTCATTTTCAAGCAGGCTGTATCTGTTTACTCTTGTGAATGGTTTATGCATCTATATAAAACATCACTGTAGAAATTTCTTGGTATATTTAGAATATTGAGCCTTTTTATCAATTTCAATGATTAGAAGGCATAATCCAAGAAAGGTTGAAACTGTTTTGTTTTCCCATACTCTTCCCATTTCTCTCTTCTGTTGATTTAAGAATCCAATGGAACCCATAAATCTACAATATCTGACTAATGTATTTGTAGCTTGGTGCTCTCGGTTTCCTGAAGAAAAAAAAAGTTTTGTTTTACCATTAACATATTAATTTTATAACTGCAATTAACATTTTGGAGAAAAAAAATTCCCTCACCATGATTACAGACTACTTTTATAAAAATCGTCTACATGTTAAAATTAAAATACTATAAAACAACACTCACTTTTTTGTCTTTGTTGTATTTGGCAAATATCTCCTGGGCTCTCTCTTCTCCTCCATCTGTGAATAACATGATGATCTTGTTGCAATTCGCTCTGGAAACATTATACTGTTCAAAATAGACATGCCAATTATCCATAATGAAAATTAGGAGAAGAAAACCAATATGAAAAAAGCAAGCTCATATGACACCCTACAAACAAAATGTCTTCTCAGTAGTATGTTCTAATATCAGGTTTGTGGATTAGGCCAGCCTTAGCTCTTGATACATAGATAGCCAAATTCCTTTCAAACCTGCCATCAAATGCCACTGTAATGGACACTTTCCTGGACCATTGTGTTTTAAACTGTAATAGAGTCCAGATTATATTTTCTTCATAATAATTTAATTTGTATACAATCAGCATTTTGTTGGTTTGGTGTTAATGTTCCTTTTTTTCCTTTTTTTAAGATTTACTTATTTGTTTGTGTATTTATTATTCAGTACTCTGTATGTATGCATACATGCCAGAAGAGGGCACCAGATCTTATTATGGATGGCTGTGAGTCACGGCATGGTTGCTGGGAATTGAACTCAGGACTTCTGGGAGAGCATTCAATACTATTAACCTCTGAGCCATCTCTCCAGCCCAATGTTAGTTTTTCTTAAAGCAACACAAGCCCCACAAAAAGTAAGATAATGTGGTATTTAGACAGCACCAAGTACATAATTCCCCAGTGACTGAGCAGTAGTTGGGTTTTGTATGAGCAAATGTTTCTTTTACATACCTAATTATATAGCAGAAGCAAACAAATAACATTCACTTGAAATAATTCACACTTTTCACATTAACCTTTCAATCCTTTTCCAGATACTCCTCTTCTTCGCTCCATGGTCACCCCATTACTTTTGCCTTATATTTTGGGATGGCAGACTCATGCAGAGTTTCTCACACAGTGCTCCTCAGGCTCCATAAGTGCCTGCAACCTACTCCCTGAACATCTTTTCTCCTCTTTGTCCTCTCCTGACCTGCCACACAGATTCTAATCCTGCAAGATTCAATTCTGGCTATAAATCCTCTTAACCTTTAAGGTCTTTCAAAGAACTGAGCATAAAATAATGAATTAGCATTAGAGGGCCATTAAGATGAACACTTTAATTTATCAAGTTGGACTTGTTGAAGGCATCAGGTTACAATCTTAGCTTTTCTACTATTATGGAATGTGTTTGCTTAAATGATGAGAAAAATGGATTGCACTAACTTCTGAATGCTCAGCTTCTTTGAAAATGTCAACTTTGTAGCGTACTGCTATCTAAAAGTAAAATGGGAGCCTACTGCTTCATCTGAAGGATTTATAATGGGAGACTACCACATAATTTAAATTTTTCTAAAGACCTCATAAAGCAGAATAATAAGTTAATTTTTGTCATAGAGTTCATTTAAATTAGTCTTCAAACTACTATCCTTTCACTATGAAATCATTATAAAGTTACTGAGAAAATATACACTATGTTCTTCTATCAATGTCATCAAATGTCACTGTGCAATTTAGTGCAATTCCAGTAGGCATTCTTCCAAAGTCCTTGAGAACCTCCTGTAATTGAGATCATCAGTCTTGGCCTTTAAATGAGCAATTATATTTTTTAAATTATCAATGATACCTTGGTAGTGTTATAGCCTACAGAAGGCCCACACTCTCATTTTGGAAGGATGATAAAGTCCATCTTTTGGTCCAGAAATTAAAGAAGACCTTCCCCACATTGGTGACAAGATACTACTTCATATTATCTCAGCACATTGACAAGCCCATAAGGACACTGACAGTAAAAGTTTCTAACGAATCAATGGAAACCCAAGTATTGACTAACACATCTGTTACCTTCAACCATGGCTCTAATCTCTGAACATACCCTGTCTGCAAATTTCAATGGTGATCAGTGACTTTTACCAGAATGTCTAAAAACAAAATAAAATGGCTTCTCACTGACACTTACATTAAGCAGCTGCTCAAACGCAAAGCTAAAGCCCTTCTTATAATCTGTTATCCCTTTGGCTGTGATGTTATTTACAGCATCTTTCAACACCTTCTTGTTTCTCACATTCGCCTGGACCAGGTGCTGGAAACAGCTTACGTCCTGAGCATTGCTGTTAAACTGCAAAGAGTAAACAGAGAGTGTATAAATGGACATGGAAGCCAACTGCACAATTTCATCAAATCTCATTTGCAGGCATCTCAAGCTCATTGTACTGTGTTCCTTTGAAAAGAAAAGAAAAAAGTCCAAGTAACAAATTGTGCTAAGGACCGAGTGGCAGTTTACACTTACTATAACCTTGAGTACTTGCCTTCCTAAACCCTGTTTTTAAATTAGGGATTTGATTTTGGTGGGGAACCTTTCAATTTTCATATATTAAGATCCCAGAAGTGGCCTGCTTGCTTGGGACACAGATGGAAAGGAGAAATTTTTAACTGTTACTCACCAGAAAGGAGTCCTTAGAATAAGGATATAAGGATGATACGGCAGATGCTATTCTGTAATTAAGTAGTATTTCTTTGGGAACTAAACACAGGGAGACTTCTAAGAAAACCGAAAGCAATGGAAGCCTTTTAGGAACATAACTCCTCAGGGGAGCACACAGCAAGAATGCTGGAGAATCACCGAGGCAATATGCTGTACAAACAGACCATTATAAGTAGGGATGGGTGATAAACGGACAAGCACCAAGTCCAGTGACGCTCGCCTAGAACAAAGTATCAACATTATCAACAGGGAAGTTCTCTAACTCCAGGGAAAGTGTTCACACACTGCACTTGGTGTTTCTAGACGATGAGAACACAGAAGGCCTCAGAACAACGGATTCTGAAATGAAAAGAACTGTCCCATTGTTCACTAAATCTGTAATTTGAGGAGGATTCCTTGACACTGAGGTCCAGGGATGTGTAAAATGAAAATAATGAATGGTCTTGAGAGAAGAAAGGGGGCAGATAGACAAATTGCTGAAGGATAATTGTAAATCAGAAACATAATTCAATAATTCGAATGCTTACATTATAAATGATTACATATCATATAAATAGAGCATGATGTTCTTCTGCTAGACATAATTATAAGATGCAGTGCAATATTCATCTGTCAAATAAACATTTAGTAGCAACCAGGAATCACAACACATAACCATGCATTCAGACATAAAGCAAATTTCACACATACAAACACACACGTACACCACATATTTGTAAACAAATACTTATGGAGTATTTACCACTAACTAAAATAATAATCACTTTCTCATTGCAAATTTCCTACAACACAGGCATTCACATTGTCATAATGTGATTGCCAAGGACACTCACACACAGAGGCTAACTAACTCCTCCCTAAAATGTACAGAGTGAGAGCCCTAGGAACACTCAGCCATAACTGGGATGTCTCCATCATCCCTTTCTTCAGGCCTCAGGCAACACTGCAGAAGTGGAGGCAGAAAGAGTGTAAGATCCAGAGGGGATGGAGAGCACCAAGAGAACATGGCCCTCTAAACACAGCACCATCATCACACGTACAAATTCACAGAGACTGCAGCCATATGCATACGCCTGCATGTGTCTGCACAAGGTGGAGTCATAGAGCTGAAGTGAGAAGTACTTGCAAATAAAAAAAAATTAAGGTTTCTCCAAGGGACTCTCACTAGAGAAACAAACTAAGGTTACCCCTAGCCACATACCTTAAAAAATATGTCCAACATACAATGAACTGATGGGCATCTTTGGAAGTTCTTTGTCTCTTAATATTGTACCAGTGAGTTTATTATTTATTTACTACTATTTTATTTTACCTTACAGGTCCTTTGAGTATACATTATAGCTTTTGAGTATGGATAGGATTCCCGTGTGTTCTGTATCTATATTTTTTGTGTGTGCTTTTTCTTTGACCCTCTTTCTTCTGTTCCTTTTGTCCTCTTTCGATTCGTTTGTTTTTATCCTAAGTATTTTTTCCATATTATTATTCAGTAGGTGCTAGTTCGTTTTCTAATGAGAAACAGAAAAAGTGTAGAACTTGATGAGACGAGATATGGGGAGGAATTAGGAGTTGGGGGGATTTTAGTCAGAATATATTGTGTGAAAAAAAATCTATTTCTAAAATAATCTGTCCCTAGACACGTGACTAGCAAACGGTGAGAGTTGGACTCAAGCTAACTGTGCCTTTGGTCACCCTACACTACCTTTCAGTATACCATTATAAACTGTGTTTAGCTCTATGAAGCACTGTCTATGATGATCTAGAACACCACACTTGGAGGAGAGTTTCCATTTTGGAAAGAGAACAGTGGGAGAAATTCTCTTGAAAAACAAAATTTCTGAGGGGGTACATATTTCAGAGAAGTGTGAAAGAATGTGGAAAAGAACATTCCAGGAGAGCAGTAGATGTGTGGAGGTCTCATTGATTTAGTGTGTGGAGAGATGTTCAAGGGTTTGAAGAAGCATTTACCATTGTTCATCAGGACCAATGACACTAGGTCAGAGGAGGCACCTGGGGTCAGATCACATAGCATCTCAGAGAGATAAAGAGGAAGTGTGAATTCCCTATGTCAAATGTTATGTGGCTGCAAGGTTTTATGTCAAATGTAGAATGAGTTTTGGAATATTTAAGAGGTCAGGCTGGTCGCTTCTTAACAGAACTCAAACGTGAACACCCATAGGCTACTGAAGTCACCTAGTTGACAGTCCTTACACTATTCGGGGGAACAGTTAGAAAAGCCAGGGCTGGGGCTCTGTTTTGGAGAAAGATCATGATGGATTTAGCATGAGAAGTCCAGATATGCATCTACAGTGGCCGCCAGGTTTCTGACATGGGCCTTTGAACAGTCTGCAGGACTCTTCTGGAGAACAAGCCAGGAACTGGGAAGAAAAACAGGGTCACCTTAAGGTGAGATTGCACCAGTGTGAGACACAGCAGTAGAGGTGCCAGGAACGGATAACATCTAAAGCTGGAGGCATGAAAGTGGTCCTGGCTAAAGATTAAAAGGGGGGAAAGGCTTTGCCACAGAAATTTGGCCTACAGCCCTGTGAATAACAGTGAAATAGAACAGGAATTCCCAAAAATCCTAAGATTGAGTTTCCATAGAAACAGAGGGGGGGTGGGTATGTCCTAAGAAGAAAAAAAATGGCAGAAAATAAAAGGCAGACAAAAGACAAAAAATGGAGGAACATGGGAAGCATGGTCCACACAGAATACTGAGGAAAGTGAGTCGGAGAAGCCCTTCTTTCTCTTCCAGCAAACTGAATGGTGCAGGCATAGGAACAGGCTGCAGCCGCTCAGGTCTGCAGAGGTAACTGTTCCTACCTAGAAGCCTAAGATCGCTTTAAGGCTTGGGGAAGAGAGACTTAACAAGAAGGCAATTGCCCCATGAAGATAAATAATCCAAGAGGGTTCTCCTTTGTATTTTCAACAGAAGTTTCAGGCATGTCAGATGGATGAAAATAAAATTCCAATATATTTGTTTACTATATTTCATAATCTCAAATATTGAAGGCCGTGCCTATAATATAGGACCAACCCCACAACATTAAGAATGGAGATTCCTTTGTGATATGACATTGTCTTAGGCTAGGATTTCCATTACAAGAAGTCTTGTACTAGTGACCGAGACAAAAATAGTTACTACATCAATAGTAAATATCCAAGTTTTAAAAATTAGAAATAATTGCAGGAATTATTATGTAGACAATGAGTACTGGATAATACATTGCCCAGAGACCTCCTTTGGCCTTGACCAACTTCTGAGGCAAAAAAGTGAAGGATCTCATTAAGTAATACAAATCAAGTAAATCTAAATTCAATTCATTAAGTGAAAATTCAGTGGTATATACAGAAACTTACAGTTCCACTCATAATAAAAACTAATGCAGATAAAATAATTACTTACAATATGTAATTCCCTACATATGGCTAATATTATTCTCCTGGGAAAGCAATAACAAGTTTTAAGGTGTCTAAATTAGATAGGAATATATTTCAGACATCTTAGGCTTACCTGCTTTTACTATATGTATATAGAAATGTATGTATGTATGTATGTATGTATGTATGTATTCATATTTTTAAAAAGCCTTGAACAGCAGCCACTTGTAAGACATAGCAGGTGTTAATTGAAAGTTGAATATTAAAACTTTAGAGCAAAGCTATGAAAAAATAGCGTTATATAATTTGGAACTGTACATGGCTTCTGAGAAGATACATTTAAGCCCCCTGATTTTATCTATTAAGGGCATATCTGAACACTGTGAAATCAGAAATCCAAAGATTTCTCTCTGTATCAGAAAGTTAAACCCTGTAGGTCTTGGGTGATAAGCAGTAGAAGTCTGGTCAGCCTGCTGAGCCAGGAAGCATGCCTGTGAACCTGAGCATGAGCAATAGAGAGCGCATCACTGTTCTGTCTTTTCTCCTTCTGCAGATCCGGTCTCTCTGCTACAGCTTTCCCCAGTGTGTGCCAGCCCTCAGTCCCCAGTACTTCCTCCTTGTCGCTCTTTCCTCATGGTAATGTCTTGTTATAAGACCCCTCTCCCCTACACTGAGATTTTTTTTCCTCACAATTCTTTAGAGACCCTTCCACATGGTTAGAGAAAATTCGCTTTTCCCACCTCTGGCTCTTTAGTTCTTGGCATTGAACGCTCACTGAATGGGCCCGTCAGTCTGCTTCATGCTTTGCATATGGGGCCTAAGGAAATTAGAAGTTGGTGTGGAATATTCACCGGTAATTGAAACCAAGACTTAAAAGGAGGTGAATGGCCTGCTGGTTCTTAAGTCTTTTCCTGCATTTCTACACTGGTAAATGCAAAACTACTCTTCAAATAGTTACTGCTAAAACACTTGAGGAGAATTCCTACCAGTCTGGCACAATTTAGATGCTAAGTAACCAGTAATAACAACATTTAAAATTTATTGAAAAAAAAAATACTGTGGCCATTAGGGACAATTCAGGTAGAAACAGTGTCAGCGTTCATGAGATTTAGGCAACGTTGGTTCATGAATGAGAAGACAAGAGAGTCGCAAGTGTGGAGACAGTCCAATACAGTTTTTGAGAAGAGCACACAATCTGTTCATGTCAGTACTTTAAAACCAAATCCTTTCTGAGAGAATGTCATGCCCCAGTACAC